GCGAAATTGTTGGGATGTATCCATTTTCGACAGTGGAAATGATTAGAATCCAATCTAAACCATTATCCTTAATGGTTGTCACACTAATTCTCCTACCATCATATTGAAAAGATGAACTGTTAACTTTCAATGTCAAACTTTGAATATCATTAACTTTTTTTGAGTTATTTAATCGTAAAATATCACGTTTGTCAAGCTCGTTTGCTAATCGTTCGTTTCTACTATCTATTTCAGTCATTTGAAATCGTTTTCCATCTACTATATTCGGTTGAGAAAATGAATTCGAAACTAACATTCCATTACGCTCAACCAAGACAATATCAATACTGTTGGTGTTCATGTCTAAGTGTCTACAGACTGTATTATTGAGTAATTGATCCATGTAGAATAGATCATATTGCATTCCAATTATTTCTTCCACAAGAATCATTTCAGTTCCATTTTTAATAAATATTGGAAAATCCAATTTAGTAACTGCTGAAATTGATGGTGTGTTGAACAGGTAGTGAATCCAAATATCTGTCCAAACGTATTGTGGGTATGTGTATTGATTAATATACCAAGGTCTTGTCGTGCAATCATACCCTCCTTTTTCAGTTGTCGTATTCGAAATTGGTTGAAAGTATTCGTCAAAATCAGACGATTTCAGTATGAGATCAGGTCCACTAGATTGAACTCTACTTCTATTCTTTGAAATTTCCAAACTAAACAATTGTTTTTGGCTATTTCCATAGGTTATTTCAGAGAAAGTCCTCGTAGACGAAATAATTGGTGCCAATTGACTCACCACTCGTTTATAATTCTCAGTAAAATTCCCAATTTCATTGCCATAGATGTGTTGATGTAAAAAGAGAGAAGTTCTCAGATTGGATAAAATCTGTCTCGAAGTATGTACGAAACCTTCCACCTCCCTTACAATATTTTCTTCTCTAATTTTGGAAGTGTTTGCAAGAGCTGTTTCTCCACTTTCCAATTTTGGATTTTGATTAAATTGTTGAAAACTAACCTCGAATAAATAATTATCAGCATGCACCCAATGCAGACGAATGTTTGTATGAGGAAAATTGAAAGGAAAATATTTTGAATGGTGTTACATTTCGAACAGGGAATTTTCCTTGGTGAAACAATTGTTTTTTCAATGTCGTCCGATTTTTCACAGGAGGACGATTCTGGTGGTGAGGTTATGCTTGTCTGCATTTTTTTGTATATGTGGGGGAGGTACCGTTTGTCCTTCTGTTGTCCAAAACCATTATCCACTGTTGTCTTTCTAAATATGGAAGTATTCCATTTTGGTTACAATCGTTCCACTACCATTTGTGAATGAAATTAATCATATAATTCGGCACAAAAGATGATATCTATCTCTTCTTGATGATATTGCTTTAGAGGAAATGTTTAGAGGTAATGAAACCCATAAACATGTTTAGTCATGTCCAAATTAAGGTCGGCAAATATCTTAATCAATGTACGTTATTTCTTTGAATTTACTTCAAGTTGAGATTGAGAATCTTGTATGTTTCCTTTAATAACCAGTTGTATCTCTCTTACTGAGGACTAATGGGGCTCATTAAATGTTTTTCCTTTCGTTATAATCACAACATTCGATTAGTTTCCAATAGTTGTTGCATGTGATCACACATCTATGGCATCTAGACTAAATATCAGTTTGACGGACTAACCAAACCAGAAACATGATCGGCACTCAAAGTATCACTACTAAGATCACTGATTACCACTACTCATCAATGAACTATTAGCACTACTACTACTACTGCTGCCACTATCCACTGACACCACTGACACCATTGCACTACTACTACTACTACTGCTGCTTGTTATCATTGAAGTGGAAGATTGATTTGGATTGATAATTGGCCGCACAACCATAGCTCCCATTACAATTTGAGATTTTGGAGGTTTGTAATTAATTGTTGGCAAATGACTGATTGGTGTTAAGGGAGTAAATGCAATGCAATTTCCCTTTTCCAAATGAGATTTGAAATCAATCATGTTATCGACCAAGTAAACATGCTTCTTGCATGCTTTACAATATTTGGTAGAGTTTGATTTGGATTTCAATTTTTCAAATTTTAATGGACATTCGTATAGCCATTCACAATTTTCAATAAATTCTGAGCCTTTAAAAGAGGGAAGGACGTGTTTAGTTTCTTGAAATGGAATTTTGATTGAATTTAAATGTTGAATTCTCCTTCTAAGAATGTGTAAATAATT